ACTTCCCACACTGATATACTTACCATTGCATGTGTTATTGTTAGTAGTATTTATTACATATCCCATATCACAAGTACAATAATATGATCCAATATTATTGTGACAAGTGTGTTCACAATCATCTATACCATTAGTGTCATTGCATTCATTAATATCTACAAAATTGGGCATTAAATTACTAATTTTTATCTCTTTACAATTACCTTTGCAAGTGATGTTGTTAGAGCTTATTAAATACCCAATGTCACAATCACAATGATATGAACCAGCATCATTAATACATATTTGATCACACAAACTAGTTCCATTTGTACATTCATTAATATCTGTATCAAATGAGAGCTGTATATAATTAAAGTTATCATCAAACTAACCGATACATGTGTGATTGTCATCACTCAAATAATATCCATTGTCGCATTCACAATAATAACTACCATCTGTATTAATGCACTCTTGAGTACAGTTCGTAATATTCTCAATACATTCATTAATATCTAGTAAACTGAAACTATTATCATAATAATTACAATGTACCTGAACAAAACACACTTCCATTGTAACCAGTATAACAAGAACACTCAAAGCTTCCATTTGTGTTAGTGCAAATGTGCTCACAAGTTCCATTCATTTCTACACATTCATTAATGTCTACAAATGTTAAAATTAATCTTAGGCCATAATATTATGCATCATTACTACCTCTACAGCCCAAAGTGTTTGATTCATCAATGACATATCCATCAAAACAGTCACAATGATAAGATCCAATTGTATTATTACATATATGAGAGCAACCTCCATTATCATTCTCACACTCATCAATATCTGCAATTTAATTACTTTTAACAATCAACTTTTATTTGATGCTGTTATACCTAAACATTTGTAATCAACTAACATATTTCCAGACCCAAAAATATCATCAGAAATTGTTAGATTATATCCAGGATAACAAGAGCAATTATATGATCCAAGAGTGTTATTACAAATCTGATCACAATTTCCATTGTTGAAAAGACACTCGTTATTATCTATAAAAATTTTACAGTTAAGTTGTGCTTAAGCAAAGTTACCTTCACAGTAATGAATGTTGCTGAGTGAATATCCCTCATCACAAAAGCAAGCATAACTGCCATTAGTGTTATTACAATTTTGTTCACATTGTCCATTGTTAACAGCACACTCATCAATATCAATGCATGTTTGATTGTCACTCTCCAGTTTATATCCTAAATGACAGCTACAAGCATAACCACCAAATGTGTCTTCACATAACTGGGTACAACCATCAGTTTCTTCAAGACATTCATTTATATCCCTTACTATTACTTTAATTGATCATAGTCAGGCAAAATCATAACTTACAAACACATTGAGAGCGATTAGTGTTGCTTAGTTCATATCCATAATGACACGAACAGAAATAAGTACCATTAGTGTTTTCACAAAGTTGTTCACACCCTCCATTGTTAACAGCACATTCATCAATATCAATGCAAGTGTAACCATCAGTGTCTATTATGTACCCTCTTTCACAGTTACAGTTGTAGCTACCTTCTGCATTGGAGCATTGCTGACTACACAAAGCAGTCCCTTCCTCACACTCATCAATATCTATATAATTATAATAATATAGTGTAAGGACACATAATAATTTAGTTACCTGAACAGAATTTTGAATTTTCTAATCGAAAGCCACTTTTACAAGAACAATTGAAAAAAGGAACTTGATTCTCACATATTTGTTCACACACATCATCTTGGCACTCATCAATATCTATAACAATTTTTTGTTAGAACTTATTGTTCAAAACACAATAATAGGCTTTACCAGTGCAAGATTTCCTGTCAGGCTCTAAAAGGTAACCCAGGTCACAAGAGCAATAATAGCTACCATTAGTATTGAGACAGTTTTGTTCACATCCTCCATTATCAATAGTGCATTCATCAATATCAACACAAGTGTGATTATCATAATCCAATTGGTAACCAGTCTGACAGATGCAGTTATAGCTACCTTGAGAGTTTGTACAAAGCTGAGAGCATCCAGATGTTCCTTCAGCACATTCGTTAATATCTATGGCATCAGGGCTTGATTATCAATATCAAACAATTAGTGTCAATTACCGTCACAAAAGTTTCTGTTATATAGCAGATAACCAGTTTTACATAAACATGTATTTGAAGATCCATCTTTAACGCAAATATGCTCACATCCACCATTAAATTTATCACATGGATTTGGCGGAACATACACTACTCTACAATATCATAACATAAAATAAAGTATGCTAGATACCTGAACAATTCCGTCTATTTCCATCTAGTTTATATCCAGAGTCACAACTGCAGTAATACCATCCTGGTCTATTATTACAATGTTGCTCACAACCACCATTGTTTGAACTGCATTCATCAATGTCTAGGTTATTAAAACAGAGATATTTATAAGATTGTGATTGTTTCACTTTTATTAATGTATATTATTACAAAATATTTTTCTTCCAGTACAATATGGGACATTTGCGCTATCAAATGGGACATTATATTTATAAAACTTCAAATTTTTCTAGATCACTATTTTTAATCACAAGTAGTTGTAGAATCAACATTTTTCATCCATTATTATGTTTATCTACAATGTCTCTTTCATTTAACTTAAATTTCTATTGACAATACATTTTGAGACACAAAGATGAAACTGACTAACCTATACAATCATATCCATTATCAGACATATAATACCCAGAGTAACAAGAGCAAGAATAAGAACCGTCATTGTTATGACACCTTTGACCGCAATTATCATCACCTGAACAACATTCATTGAGGTCTACAAATTGTTTTTAATTTGTATCATTATCCAACTGCTTCTTCTATACCTTTACACTGATCATCACTTGTGTCCAGTAAATAACCTGTCATGCAGTCACAAGCATAGCTTCCATTTGTGTTGTTACAGCTTTGATGACAATTTCCATTGTTATTCAAGCATTCATTAATATCTATAAGTTATAACAAGAGTGGATAAATAATTATCCACTCTTGGTTATAAGAATAAGTTTATTTATTACAACATACCAACACAATCCTGAAGGGTTGCATTAAAGATATATCCATTATAACAAGAACAAGTATAACTTCCTATACTGTTTTGACAAACTTGAGAACAACCACCATTATTTATAGCACATTCATCAATGTCTAGTAAGTTAATGTAATGATGTATAAATAATGATAAATAAAATGTTTTTCCTCACCAACGCAATGTGATGTGTTGTTGATTGTGTATCCTGTGACACATGAACAATTAACAGAATCAATCAATGAAGCACATAATTGCTCACAACCCCCATTATTGACTGAGCACGGTGGTGTCACTATAACAGCAAGTAAAGAAGAAAATAAACTAAGTGATAAATATTATATAAGTCAAATAACTTACAACTGCAGTTCTTTTGATCATCTTGTATAGTGTAACCAGAAGCACATTCACAGTAAGAGTCACCGGCAGTGTCATAACAATAATGCTCACAGCCACCATTATTAATGGAGCAATCCACACCTTCAGCTGATTGTCCTATAATGAGATTTCAGGAGGAGTGCAGTTCAGTAGAGAGTAAAATGGCATCATAGATAGATGGCATCTATAGCAGATATTGCTCAAAACTCGTGCCAAAGGCCATTATAATAAAACTCAGTCATTAATACTGAGACTCTCATCTCAATTACTATTTTTACAGTCTAGAACAGCAACTGTAGCTCTCAAGTTATTTCAGTGATTAGATGGGTTAGCGATCCTGCCGGACTTCGTGGCATTTAGATCTAGATCTGTTAGAAAATATCTTTACTGACCTGCTATTGCGACTAGTAATATGGCAACACCAACAAAGAGTTTCATCTTCTTCAGGTCTTGTGCAAGTAAATGAAGTGAACGCAACACAAAAAGTCTATCTATTCAGTTCCGGTGTTGGAGGGTGGTTGGACCCCCTTCTTTTTGGACCGGGGGGTGAAAGCGCTCGCGAGTAGTTGGACCCCCGGTCCGTATACTCCCTGAGAGCTTGGACATTGTGTTTGGACTCCCTTGGACCCCTCGCCCTCAATCTTTGGACCCCCTTTCTGCCGTTGGACGATCGCAAAACAAGATACCACACTGCTGTAAGTGCTGTTACTTAGTGCTGTATGAGCATAGTGCTTTGAATTGTAACCATAGATACTTCTTAAAAGGGCAAGACCAAATTGCTGTAACTAAACACACTTTTCATGCTGTTTCTAATAGTATGTTGTTGTCCTCTACCCACTTCTTTTACCCCTCCCACTTAATTAATACTTTTGAGTCTGATATAATTTTTTTTCCTGGGAATGGGTGTCAGAACAATGGGCTGTCATGACATCCCTTCAGGCCTTTATTCTTTCCTCCGCTGACATCTCTGCTGTCTGTTTAATTCTCTAATTCTCTTTATTCTGTCTAAGTCCTGTAAATTCTAATAATAATAATAATAATAATAATAATAATAAGGCTTGCTGTGCAGTATTAGTTGTTGCTGTCCTTCAGTACCCTCTGTCCTTTTTCTCTCGTCTCTGCCTATATTTGTCTTATACTGTGAAGTTCATAATAATAATAATAATTATTATTATTTTGTTAATATTAAATTTTATTTATTATAGGTAATTCAGTGTAGGTGAACAGTAGATTTTACATCCTCCAGGTTATCAAAATCTTCATCAACAACAGCTGAAAGCAGCAGGAATCTATAATAAAAACTAACTTTGGCCAAATAATGAGTTTAAGAAAAAAAGACTAATTATTGTAACAGGTCAAAAATTGACTATTTGTTATAACAGGTTTACATAGTGTACTGCTTTCAATGCCATTGATGTAGGTCAACAGTTCATCTGGCTATCTAGAAACAATAACTATAATAGTATAAACTGAGTGTTGGTAATTTATGATTATATTAAAGCCATTATACCATGTCATATTCAATCCATCAACAAATCTTTGAGGTAAAATAAGTGATATTTCCTGTTCCTAATATTTAGAAAATTCACTGAATCTCTTTTGAGCATAAAGCTCTCAGTCTTAACTTCAGCCATAGATACTTTAATTAAAATATCTATGCTTCAGCTATACCTGAAAATTGTGTAAAAGTAGCCATGCATGCATTGATAAATCGGCCACATGGACTACAATCAGTTGTATCTACTTGCAATTTCTCTTACTGTCTTTAGTATCTATTTGTGAGGGATATTCTCCATGCTCCAATTATTTACATAATCAAATCAAAGCCTTTTCATAGCAGTACAGCTGCATTTTAGATACTACAAGTGCG